TTGATCATTAGCTTTCCTTAAGTGCCTTAATTATCAATAGTGTTTATATAAACCTGATGAGGAGGTCCCCCTGTACTCATTATTACTACATCTTAATTTCCTTCCTTGTTAAGATAATTCAAGGAAACTGTTGTGAAAATCGTAGGGCCTGTACCATGTATTGTAGAAGCAGCGGTTTTATATGAGCATAAATTTTAATAAAAGGGTCTTTCCTCAACCCCTTCTTCATGTGTTTTAAATTAGCTTACCATATAGTGTAATAATTTCTTAAGTATAATATGACCTGGTTTGGCCCCGAAAATTGAGTTATTAATGCCTTAGATTGTTCTTAAGACTTTGAAATATTGCCCAAAGAAATCGAAATAGTAATGAATATCGTAGTTCCATTTCCAAATTTAAGTATCGTTATCTAAATAAATACCTCCTAATTCTAGCACTGCAACAATTCTAATTAGATCACTAGCAGCTACAATGGCTTCGATGTCTTAAATATAATACTGATATTATCTCTAAAATTTTTCATCATGAAAGTATTTAAGTTCCTTTAATTCTCTAACGATTACACCATGATTTTAAAATAAAGTAATAGTATTGGGGATTATTTGTTTGTTCTCTACCCAAAGATAATGAATCCATTTATATCCTTCTTATCTAGCACTTTTATCTAAAACTTAATAAGTTTTGCCAAGATCATTTAGTATATCTTAAGGGAGCTTATCCTTAATTTCTTTGGGAGAGTTTATATTTGTTAACCATATTCTATGAGATATTAAAGGTATCCGAAAAGCCTAACTTTTTTTGTATTAAATCTAATTGCTTTCAAATATTTTAGGGTTTTCAAACCTTCTTATATGATTTGCATATTCCGTAAGAGTTTCATTAATCTTTTCATCCTTCATTATTTACCTTGTTAACTCTCTTTCTGTGATATATTCAGTTCCATAGTAAGGTGTTTTGGGGAAGAGACAGAAATCTAGAAAATTGATAGTTGTAAGGGTAAGTTTTTAAGGAAATGTTAGTCGTTGGTTAACTTAGTCAGAATCTTCAAAAATAAAGCACTTTTGTTTTGACCTGCCAAAATATGCTAAGAACT